AGGGACAGGCAGTGGCAGGGACAGGCAGTAGAGGAGACAGGCAGTGGGAGGGACTGACAGTGGGAGGCACAGGCACTGGGGGGAACAGGCAGTAGGGGGGACAGGCAGTGGGGGGGCAGGCAGTGGGAGGGCCAGGTAGTGGGGGTGGACAGGCAGTGGGAGGGACAGGCAGTGAGGGGGACAGGCAGTGGGAGGGCAAGGTAGTGGGAGGGACAGGAAATGGGGGACAGGCAGTGGAGAGACAGGCAGTGGGAGGGACAGGCAGTGGGGGGGCAGGCAGTGGGTGCCACGTGGTAGGTAGGGGCATCCACTGTGCATGGCCAGCCACACTCACCGTGGCACTCAGTACGGGTGGGGCTGGGCTGGAAGCCCTCATCACAGTCGCACCGGAAGCTGCCCTCGGTGTTGACGCAGCGGCCATTGACACAGAGGTCAGGCTGAGCGCGGCATTCATCGTCATCTGAGATGGGAGGGATGAGGCGGACCAGGGTGTGGGGTAGGCCACAGGCAACCTGCCTCCTCCACAGCCCCAAAGGGTCCCTTTGGGTCTGCCCAGGCCCTCTTGCTTATTTTTATTTTAATTTAATTTTATTAATTTATTTTTATTTGTATTATTTTCTATTTTGAGACAGTCTCACTCTGTCACCCAGGTTGGAATGCAATGGCATCATCTCAGGTCACTGCAACCTTCGCCTCCTGGGTTCAAGCAATTCTTCTGTCTCAGTTTCCCAAGTAGCTGGGATTACAGATGCCCGCCACCTTGCCCAGCTAATTTTTAAAAATTTATTATTTTTTTTAATTTTTAGTAGAGACGGGGTTTTGTCATGTTGGCCAGCCTGGTCTTAAACTCCTGATCTCAGGTGATCTACCCGCCTTGGTTTCCCAAAGTGCTAGGATTACAGGCGTGAGCCACCGTGCCAGGCCTTATTTTTACTTTTATTGTTTTTGGAGATGGGGTCTCACTCTGTTGCCCAGGCTGGAGTGCAGTGGCACTGTCCTAACTCATTGCAACCTCAAATTCCTGGGCTCAAGCGATCCTCTCGCCTCAGCCTCCCAAAGTGCTGGGATGACAGTTATGAGCCACTGTGCCTTGTCTGACCCTCTTGCTTCCACAAAGGGTTCCCTGCACCCCTGAAGCTCCAGTACCCCCATACCTGTGCAGCCCTCCCCGGAGCCAGGCAGGGGCCGCATGCCTGGGGGACAGACGCACACGAAGGTACCGATGAGGTTCTTGCACTCCATGCCCCGGGCGTGGCAGTCCTGCTGACCATCTGCACACTCGTCCACATCTTCGGATGACCGGGGACAGATGGTCAGCCAAGGCCAGGCACCCCATGGCTGTGGGGACCTGGATTCCACCCTATGTTAGCCCTGGTGGGACCTGAGTAAATTCCCTGCAGGCCCTGTCAGGTGTCCATCCCTCCTAGGAAGGGAGCCCCCAGCTCCGGCCCAGCCCCAGCTTCCAAGAAGCTAAGGGAATCAGGAATTGTCCCACAAAGCTTGCATCCCCTGCCCACGTCAGGGTCTGTGAGTCTGCTCCTGGCCCCTGGAACACTGACCCTGAAACAGCCCCAGAGACACTGAGTCCCAGACCAGGGTCTCCCACCCTTGACACTATGAAATTTGGGATAGGAAAGTTCTGTGTGGTGGGTAGCTGTTCTGTGTGCATTGCAGGATTCTTCTTCTTCTTCTTTTTTTTTTTTTTTTGAGACGGAGTTTTGTTCTTGTCGTCCAGGCTGGAGTGCAGTGGCATGATCTCAGCTCACTGCAACCTCCGACTCCCAGGTTCAAATGATTCTCCTGTCTCTCAGCCTTCCAAGTAGCTGGGATTACAAGCGTGCGCCACCACACCCAGCTGATTTTGTATCTTCAGTAGAGACAGGGTTTCACCATGTTGGTCAGGCCTACCTCGACACATGGCCCCATCCTCCCGCAGGGTGTAGCCGGCTGGGCAGGTGCACAGGTAGGAGCCCTCGGTATTGTGGCAGCGGAAGGCACAGAGCAGCGGGTTCAGGGAGCATTCGTCGATGTCTGGGGAGGCCAGTGGAGGTGCCAGCTGTTGGGGGGGCTGTGGGTAGGACCTCCACTCCCTCCCCCAGGCATCTCCGTCACACGGCCCAGGTCCTGGGCAAGCAGAGTCGTACCCTCACAGGTCATCATGGGGCCAGGCTCAAAGCCGTCAGCACAGGCACATTCGAAGCCTCCGATGACGTTGGTGCATGTGCCCTGCCCACAGGGGTGGCCGACAGAGCACTCGTCTGTGTCTGGGTGGGAGTAAGGGGGTGGTCAATGCCTGCAGAGGGTCCCCCATCCTCAATAGCATCCCATCTGCCTGCCTGTTGACCACCACAGTTCGGATGGAGCCAGATCGAATGCACGTCTAGTCTGGCTATGGGGCAGGCAAGTGGTATGTGTTTAGTGAATGAATGAGTGAATGTGTGAGCAAGTGGGCAGGTGAAGGAATGCATGAGTGAGCAAGGGAGTGAGTGAATGAACAATAAGTGAATGAATGAACCAGTGAATGAAGGAGCGATTAAACCAGTAACTGAAACGGAGGCAAGAGGGTCTCGAGTCCAGGAGTTCGAACAGAGCCTGGGTAACATAGCAAAACTTCATCTCTATAAAACATATAAATGAATAAGTGAATGAACGGTTAAATGAATAAGGGAATGAGTGAGTAAAGGGGTCAATGGGTGGGTGAATTAGTGAGTGAGTGAATGGAGGAATCAGCAAGGAAGTGAATGAACGAACAAGGGGGCAAATGAGGAAACGAATGAGTGAATAGGTGAGTGAAAGCATGAATGAATGAACAAAGGAACGAGTAAGTGAATAAATGAGTGATTGGATGGGTGAATGAGCAAGGAGACAAATGAAGGAATGAATGAATGAGTGAACAAATAAGCAAATGAATAAACGAGGGAGCAAACGAGTGAATGAGTGAATGAATGAGTGAGTGAATGAATGAGCCAGTGACTAAATGAGGTGTGAATGAATGAGGGAGTGATTGAATGAACAAGTGAATGAATAAACAAGTGAAGAAATGAGTGAGCAAAGGAGTGAATGAGTGAGTGAATTAGCAAGTGAATAAGTGAGGGAGCAAATGAGTGAATGAGTGAATAAGTGAGTAAATGAATAAATGAATGAGCAAGTGAATGAATGAGGTGTGAATGAATGAGGGAGTTAGTGAATTAACAAGTGAATGAATGAACAAGTGAAGGAATGAGTGAGCAAAGGAGTGAATGAGTGAGTGAATTGGTATATGAATGAGGGAGTAGATAGAGTGAGTGAATAAATGAGTGAATGAATGAGAAAACGAAGAAGTGAATGAGAAAATGGAGAAGTGAATGAGTGAGCAAGTGAATGAATAAATGAGTCAGTGAATGAATGAGTCAGTAAATGAATAAGTGAGTGAGTAAATGAATAAGTGAGTGAGTGAATGAATGAGCAAGAAAATGAGTGAGTAAGTGAATGAATGAGTGAGTGAAGTACAGAGGGAGGAAAAGCGAATGGGGGAGAGAGGCAGTGGGTAAGGACAGGATCTCGCCCACTGCCTGGGAGTGTCTTCCCTGCCCTGCTCTGTTCCTTCCTGTCCTGGGAGGGGCCTGGGACAGGGCTGGAGCAGGGCTGGCCACTCACCCACACAGTTGATGCCGGTGAAGTCCAGGCTGTAGCCAAGGGGACACTCACAGCGGAAGGATCCATCGGTGTTGACACAGATGCCGTTAGTGCAGACGCCAGGGTTCTCTGCACACTCGTTCACGTCTGCGGATGGCAGGTGTTGCAGACATGGCTCCTGTCACCATGCAATCCCCAGAGCCCTGGCCACACTCAAGGCCCCAAGGGGATGAGAGCCCAAGCCCCAGGCTGGGAGGGTCCAGGGCCACTCGGGCTCTCAGTGGGAGCCTGAGACTCAGAGACCTAGGCAGTGCGGAGATGGATCTGGGTGGCCCAGAAGGGGCTCTGAGCACGTGGGTGAGGGGCTCACCTTCTCGGGAGTCATCCGGGCCTGGGACTGCCCCGTGGCCAAAGGGGCAGAGCTCCTGAAAGGCAGCTGGACAGAGAGGGGGAGGGGAGTCAGAGTCAGGGCCCAGGTGCAGCCCCCAGGTGTGTGCAGGGAAGGATGAGGGAAGAATGAGAGAGGAAGGTGAGGGCGCATCATGACAGGGGAGGCTGGACAGGGGTGGGCACTCACCACTGCCTTCCTGGGGACACAGCTCACAGGGGTCTCCCCAACCCTCCCCAGGCCTCTTACTGCAGCAACAGCGGGTCTTGGTGGTATTGAAAGCTTTGGGCACCGAGCACTTCCCAGCCTCAAAACGGGTGAAGCAGAAACTCTTCCTTGTGTCTGTGGGATGGGGGCTCCATTACCCTGATTGAGGGCCACTGGCAGTGCCCACCTGCCTCTCTGACCTCTCGCACCCCAGTCCTGGTGAATAGGTTGTGCTGATCCTGCCAGTGGCCAATCAGAACATGCCACGCCCCTGGTCATGGTGATTGGTTTGAGGATGGACATGTGACCTACTCTGGGCCAATGAGGATCTGCCCTGGGTTTTTCATTGTTGGTGTTGGTGGTGGTTTTTTGTTTTTTTCAGATGGAGTCTTGCTCTGTTGCCCAGGCTGGAGTGCAGTTGTATGATCTTGGCTCACTGCAACCTCTACCTCCCAGGTTCAATTGATTCTCCTGCCTCAGCCTCCCAAGTAGCTGGGATTACAGGCATGTGCCACCACACCCAGCTAATTTTTGTATTTTTAGTAGAGACAGTGTTTCACCACATTGGCCAGGCTGGTCTCAAACTCCTGACCTCAGGTGATCAGCCTACCTCAGCCTCCCAAAGTGCTGGTATTACAGGCAAGAGCCACCGACCGCAACCTGCCCTGGGGTTTTGAGGGGACAGCTAGAATCACACCCCACTTTATTGCTTTGGGGTGTTCTCATGCCAGGAAGAAAGATCAAACTCGGTGGTTACTCTTGGATCAAAAACCCCTTCCTGGAGAGGCAAAATGACTGATTCCAGAAAGCCCGAGGAACCTGGAATTCAGACTCCAAAACCCAAATCCTCGGCTCTGGACGCCTATCAAGTCCTCACCAGCAGACTGGGGTCCCAGCCTCCTAGAGCAGCAATTATTCGTTGAGGTGCACTGCAGGCTCGGCTCTCACCCTTATTGCCCCTGACCTGTGAGAGAACAGGCTGGCTCAAGCTGGGTGAGGTTAGCCCACAGTAGATGAGGCTAGCCCAGCTGAAATGGAGCCAGCCCAGAGTAGTCTAGGCTAGCTCAAACTGGACAAAACCAGCCCATTGACAGCCTACAGTCATGTGACCAATACAAGGAAAACCTAAATGAAGCACACACAGGCTAGCTCAAAATGGACCAGGTTAGCCCTCTGTAGACATGACCTCTATAGCCAAGAGGTTGCTGGCACTAGGATAACCCTGCTAATGCAGAGAGACACCTCTGCCTGGTCAAAGCTCCCGTAGGGTCATACAAGAAACCACAGCCCTCTTTTCCGGGCAATCTGACCCTTCCCCGCCCCACTTCCCACTCTCTTCCCTAAGGCCTGTGCAGACTCACCAAAGCAACGGTGCTCATTGTCAGAGAGGACAAAGCCAGGTGGGCAGAGGCACTGGAAGCTCCCAGGGCTGTTGCTACAGGTGCCAAAGAGGCAGAGGTTGGGCTCATCTGAGCACTCGTCGATGTCTGGAAGGGCGGGGACATGAGCTGGGTGGGGGGCAAGCAGGATCTCCACCAGTGGGGAGAGGACCCAGCTGTGAGGAGGGGCAGATGGAGTGCAGGTCCAGCCAGGGGCTGCAGCGGGGCTGGGGTCCTGAGAGCTCAGTATGAGCTGTAGCGCGAGGTGAGCATTGTGTGTGCACGTAGGTCCTTCCCGGAAGGTGTCTCCAGAGTAAAGGTCATGGTCAGGAAGAGTTCATGATTAGAGACTGAAACTGCACATAGTACAGCCTCTATGGAAAACAGCGTGGAGATTCCTTAAAGAACTAAAAGTAGAACTACCATTCAATCCAGCAATCCTACTACTGGGTATCTACCCAAAGGAAAGTAAGTCATTATATGAAATGGACACATTCACATGCATGTTTATAGCAACACAATTCACAATCGCAGAAATATGGAACCATCATGTTTATAAATGCCCATCAACCAATGAGTAGATAAAGAAAATGTGGTATGTCATACACCGTGGAATACTACTCAGCCACAAAACGGAACAAAATAGGCGCAGTGGCTCACACCTGTAATCCCAGCACTTTGGGAGGCCAAGGTCGGTGGATCACTTGAGTTCAGGAGCTGGAGACCAGCCTGGCCAACATGGCGAAACCCCCGTTTCTACTGAAAATGCCAAATTTAGCCGGGCGTTGTGGTGGTGTGCACCTGTAATCCCAGCTACCAGGAGGATGAGGCAGAAGAATCGCTTGAACCCGGGAGGTGGATATTGCAGTGAGCAGAGATCGTGCCACTGCACTCCAGCCTGGGTGACAGAGCGAGACTCCATCAAAAAAAAAAAAAAAAAAAGACAAAATAATGTCCTTTGCAGTAACTTGGATGGGGCTAGAGGCCATTATTCTAAGTGAAGTAACTCAGGAATGGAAAATCAAATAGCGTATGTTCTCACTTACAAGTGGGAGCTAATCTATGAGGATGCAAAGGCATAATAATGACATAAAGGACTTTGGGGACTTCCAGGGAAAGATGGGAGGGGGGTGAGGGATAAAAGACTACATACTGGGTACATTGTATACTACTCAGATGACAGGTGCACCAAAATCTCAGAAATCACCACTGAAGAACTTATCCATGTAAGCAAAAGCCACCTGTTCCCCCATAACTGTTGAGATTAAAATAAGAAAAAATAGAAAAAAATTTTAAAACCTTAAAAAAAAATAAAATTGCACAAAGCTAACTGAGACTGGATGTATTTACCCTACACTGGATGGGGTTAGCTCATGTTGTATTAAGCTAGCCCAAATAGAATAGATCAGAATAGGCTGGGCGTGGTGACTCATGCCTGTATTCCCAGCACTTTGGGAGGTTAAGGTGGGAGGATCGCTTGAGGTCAGGAGTTTGAGACCAGCCTGGCCATCATGATGAAACCTCGTTTCTACTAAAAATACAAAAATTAGCCAGGTGTGGTGATGAGCGCCTGTAATCCCAGCTACTCGGGAGGCTGAGGCAGGAGAATCGCTTGCACCCGGGAGGTGGAGGTTACAGCGGTGAGCTGAGAGTGAGACTCTGTCTCAAAAAAAAAAAAAAAAAAGAATAGATTAGAAGAGACCAGGCCAGACTGGGTCAGATTATACAAGGCTAGCCCAGATGGAAGCCCAGATCAGAGAAGTTCAGGCCAGACTGGTTCAGGTTAGCCCAGGCTAGCCTATCTGCTCAGGCCAGACTGGTCCAGGTTAGATTACAGTGAACAAGGTAGCTCATCTGCTCATCCCAGGTTGGTCCAGGTTAGCCCACACTCTCTGGGGCTAGCCCAAGTGGATAAATGGACCAAAGGAGATCAGGCCAGACTGGTTAGTCCAGACTGCATGAAATCATCTCTATAGGTGATTACAACAGTGAAGCTTGGGCCAGACTGGTCCTTGATCACCAGTTAGCAAGTGAGGAGCTCTACATTTGGGTGCACTGAGAAACGGTGAGACCCCCACACCCATGTCAATTTATAGGATTCACGAGGAAGCCTGTGGGCACCAGAGACAAAATCCTGAGCGTAAAGTTCAGAAACAATCAGAATGACAATAATAGTTTATGAAGCTGTGTTTGACTCTGCGTTAAGTACATCTCCACCTTCATCACAACCCTAGCTGGTATTCCCATTTTATGGATGGAGAAAGAGAGGCACTCCCTGGTCCCAAAAATGGGAGTTGGGGCTGGACACTCACCAATGCAGTGGTCACTCTGCACCTGGAAGCCAGGGGGACAGATGCAACGGAAGGAGCCCTCGAGGTTCTGGCAGGTGCCTGGTAGGCAGGTTCCCGCGAGGCTGAGGCACTCATTGGTGTCTGTGAAAAGAAGAAAGAAGGGTCCTTGTGCCAGCCAGGATGCAGGGGGCTCACTTGGGACTGGGACCCACACCTACATTTACTGTGTGATCACCGAGGGCCCCAGGACAAGCCCTCACAGTGGTAATTCTGGCTCCAGGGCAAGGGCTGAGACTCAGGACCACAGGGACAGCTGGGGAAGGATTATCTGACTCTCGTGGGGTTATAGGTGGGGCCAGATGGTGTCCAGTGGGAAGAGGTAGCAAGATTCCTAATCTGGCACCACCAGCAGATTCCTTCCATGGTATCCATTTAGCACGTCTACTATTCTTTGCTTCTGGAAACTTACATTTTCAAGACAGCCTCACCCTACACCTCAAATCCCATACATAAAAACATAGGTTTGATGTACTGGTTTTATAATTATTTAATTAATTTATTTATTTTGAGATAGGATCTTTCCCTGTTGCCCAGGCTGGAGTGCAGTGGTGTGACCATAGCTCACTGCAGCCTCAAACTCCTGGGCTCAAGTGATTCTCCTGCCCCAGCCTCCTGAGTAGCTAAGACTACAGGCAGTAGCCACCACTCCTGGCTAATTTTAATTTCTTTGTAGAGACGAGGGCTCACTATGTTGCCCAGGCTAGTCTCAAACTCCTGGCCTCAAGCAATCCTTCCACCTCAGCCTCCCAATGTGCTGGGTATTATTTTTTTAAACCTTAAAATAAATGCTTGGGTAGTAAATGGATCTATGCTCACCCAGAAGTACCAAACTGTGGTGTACATGGAGCACGGGCTGGTTGAGATGCCTGCAAGCACCATAGGCAGACTCACCCACACAATCCTTCCCATCAGTTGTGAGCTCAAAGCCATCCTGGCAGAGGCAGTGGAAGGAACCAGCTGTGTTGAGGCAATGGCCAAATCGGCACACCTGCCCCACCAGGGTAGTACACTCGTCAAAATCTGTAGAGGGGAGATAGGCAGGCTGGGTCACCCACAAAACTTGAAGGGATCAAGGCTTCCTCGTACTTCTGTCTGCAACTGAGTTGAGTTGATAGCATTGGCTTCAACTTGAGCACTCATGTATAGACTGTGTATATTAACCTTCCACCTACCTTATGAGGTAGTTGCTGATATTTTCTAATATAATGATGTAATGCTATGAATTTGCCTCTAAGTGCTCCCTTAGCTGCATCCTATGTATTTTCATATGTTATGCTTTCATTTTCATTTTCTTTTACTTCAAAATATTTTCTAATTTTCCTTATGATTTATTTGACTTGTGGATTATTTAGGAGTATGTTATTTAATTTCTAAATATTTGGGGACTTTCTGGGCATCTTTCTGTGGTCAATTTCTAGATTTACTTCCTTAGATTCTGAGAACCTACTTTGTGGCCAGCCTGCCAACTGAGCGGACTCACCCACACAATCCCCATTGTGTGTCACCACAAAGCCAGAGAAGCAGAGGCAGTTGTAGGAGCCGATGATGTTCTTGCAGGTCCCATTTCCACAAGGCTGCTGGTCACACTCATCAACGTCTGCAGAAGCAAAGCTCGAAAGCCCAGCCCAGCTCACCCAGGGCATTGGGGGACTTAGGGAGTGAGAGGCCAGCTGGACCTAGTGGTCCTCCCCTGCACCCAGCCCTGCCTAGATGACTGGACAGTGACCCCTGGGGGTGATGGCTGGGAAGTACTCCTGGTGTGATCTATCACCCCCATTTTACAAATGGGAAAATTGAGGCACAGGGAGGCACATCAGCCATTTACCCAAGATCTTAATGTCAGGACCCAAACTTGGATCTGTCTGTGAACTAGGATGGACAGAAACACCACTTCCATCCCAGGGGAGATGTAGACCCCTGGCAGCCTGACTTGAAAGGAGGGGAAAGATGAGGGTCTCACCCATGCACAGGGTGTGGTCTGCAGAGGCCTGGAATCCACGGTGACACAGACACATGTAGCTGCCTTCTGTGTCCATGCAGTCGCCATGGCTACAGACATTCGGGATCTCCCGACACTCATTCCGTCCTGGGGGTGCAGACAGCATGGTGTCCCCAGGGCCCCTACCACACAGTGTTTGCCTGAGCTCTCCCTACTGCAATGGAGAAGCCAGAGCCTGCCTTGAAGTTCCCCGCTCAAACTTCCACCAGGGGCGTCAGGCTCTCAGCATTGACCTGAGCTCTCACTTCCATCACATCCTATTAACAGACACTCTCAATACATCCCCGATCCCTCTAATAGTATAGATAAGGAGAAAGACCTGGACAGAGCCATACCCCATCTAAGTCCCCATGGGCAACAGAGCCCGGCTCCCTCACCTCCTCCCAGAGACCCTGCTCACCCACACAAGCCCCGCCTGGCGACAGTTTGTACCCTCGGGTGCACTCGCAGCGGTAGCTGCCGGGGACGTTGATGCAGTCGGCATTCTGCTGGCAGGGACTCTCCCTGCTGCCACACTCATCGACATCTGGGCAAATACAGCAAATGAGGTGGGGGTGACAGAGAAGCCTATCCTGACAGAATCAAGCCTGAAACCCAGTCCAATGCTTCGGAACAGGTGGTCTCTCTGGAAGCAGCCAGAGCTGGAGTGAGGGTGGTTATATGAGATGGAGGCCCTTGGAAAGGTGTTAGCCATTATTCCATTTCCATGCGGAAATGGAAGCTTACAGAGTTTTAGTTACTTGCCCAGATTGCACAGTGGCAGACATGCATCCCACCCAGATCCCAGGGCTGGGAACAGGGAGAGGTGGCACCTTCACAAGCCAGCAGGATGCTGTTGTAGTTGAAGCCTGTGGGGCACTCGCAGCGGAAGCTCCCCATCTGGTTGATGCAGACACCACTGGCACAGATGGCGGGGATCTCCCCACACTCATCAATGTCTGCAGAGGGCATCTGCCATTAGGGGCAGCCCAGCCCCCTGGGACTTCCAGTGACCCTAAGCGAAGGGACCCACTAGCCCTGCAATCTGGTTGAGGATGTTGTGGCCACAAATCAGCACACACTTAGAAAAATATTGCTGTGGCCAAAATACATCCACTCACACCAGAAAGACATCAGGATGTGGGAGGAAAGACAAGAGCAGAGAGCGAGTGTGTGTTTTTCTCAACTAAAAATGCACATTTCCTGTGACCCAGCAACCTTGCTGGAAAGAAACGGCCTTAAGCGTAAGCAGGATAGTGGTATGAGATGCTATTTAGCAAGAAACTGGAAACATCAATTGATGAATGCAGAGCAAAATATGGGATGTCTGTACCATGGAATATTCTTCAGCCTTATTAAGGAATAAAGCCCTGTAACATGTGACAACGTGGTTGAAACCTAAAATAATTATTCTAAGAGAAGCCAGACACACAAGAACAATATTGCGTGACTCCATTTAAAGGAAATGTCCAGAAATAGCAAATCAATAGAGACAGAAAGTCAATTTGTGGTTGCCAGGGGCAGAAGGGAGGGGATAAAGGGAGTGACTGCTAATAGGCATAGGGTTTACTTTTGTGTGATGAAAATGTTTTAAACTTAGATTGAGGTGATGGTTGTGTAACACTGTGAATGTACTCAAAACCACTGAATAGGACACTTTAAATGGGTGAAGTGTGTGGTATATGAATTATATCTCAATAAAGCTGTTATATATAAACAATGTAAATGTCTATCAGTAGGGGACTGGAAACAACCTAAGTGTCCATCAAAAGGGGACTTGAAAGTACCTAAGTGTCCATCAGTGGGGGACTGAAAACAATCTACGTGTCCATTAGTGGGGGACTGGAAACAACCTAAGTGTCCATTAATAGGGGACTGGAAACAACCTAAATATCCATCAATGGGGACTGGAAGCAAACTAAGTGTTCATCAATGGGGGACTGCGATGAAAATGTTATTTTTGTGTGATGAAAATGAGTTCTAGGCCAGGCGCAGTGGCTCAAGCCTGTAATCCCAGCACTTTGGGAGGCCGAGACGGGCAGATCACGAGGTCAGGAGATCGAGACCATCCTGGCTAACACGGTGAAACCCCGTCTCTACTAAAAAATACAAAAAACCAGCTGGGCGAGGTGGCGGGTGCCTGTAGTCCCAGCTACTCAGGAGGCTGAGGCAGGAGAATGGCGTGAACCCGAGAGGCGGAGCTTGCAGTGAGCTGAGATCCGGCCACTGCACTCCAGCCTGGGCGACAGAGCAAGACTCCGTCTCAAAAAAAAAAAAAAGAAAAGAAAATGAGTTCTAAACTTAGATTGAGGTGATGGTTGCATAACTCTGTGAATGTATTCAAAACCACTAAATAGGACACTTTAAATGGGTGAAGTGTGTGGTATGTCAATTATATCTCAATAAAATTGTTATAAACAATATAAGTGTCCATCCATAGGGGACTGGAAACAATCCACCTATCTATCAATAGGGGACTGGAAACAACCCAAGTATCCATCAAAAGGGGATCTGACACAACCTAAGTGTCCATCAGTAGGGGACTGGAAACAACCTAAGTTCCCATCAGTGGGGGACCTGGGATGTATCTGCACCATGAACCACTTCTAGGCAGGGCAAAGAGAGAGGCTGCATGGCAGATAGTAACCTGGCCAGTTCCTCAAGACACAATTTGGATGAAAAAAGCAAGTTGTAACCAACATGTCAAGCATTACATAATTTATGTAAAATGCCCCAGAAACCAAAGTCATATATTTTCAGTGGGAGACCTATCATGTAATGAAGGAAGAAAAAACTAGAAAGAAATATTCCAGCTGTAAAGCATAAGAATGTCCAGAGAGGGAGAAAAGAGACAGAGTTGAGGTGATGACTGGAGGAGAAGTGAGTTTTATTTGCCATGGTTTGAATTTTTTTAAAAATAAAAATAAGGCCGGGCGCGGCGGCTCGA